ATATAACCAAAACCACTTCCCCTTACACAGGTTCCAATGGCGGCCTCGTAGTAGCCCATTAGTACTGAAGACAAAGTTCTTCAGGGTCCGCTTGAAGCTTCAGTTTTAGGATATGTTGTTTAGATCAAGACCGAAAAAACCTATCCGCTAAAGACAAAATTCGCAGGGGAAATCTCTTCGAACTACGATTTTCAGATGATCATTATCATCATCGTCGACAGAATAACATCAGTGTTCAACACGGACGCTTCGCTGTCGTATAACCATAATTTATTTGAAAACCTTATTGTGAAGAAAAAATGAAGATGGACGGGGGAGGGACATAGTGCTAGTTTACTACAATCACTCCGAGGTGCCTACACCTCCAGACATTCACTCACGCAAACTGGATAGAAACTGACAACAAGAACGCCACCGACATCGGTCGGCAGCCATATCTTGCAGCGTCTCCAACCAGGCGCGGTCGCCATCCTTGAAGGCGAGTAGCACTGACAGCACCCAAACGTTCCGTAATCTCCTTCATGTCTCTCTTCCAGTTCAAGGGTTGTCCGCCTCTTTAAGTTGGACATGGAAAACAACAATCTTTTCGGCAAACGATAGTTCGGCACACGCAACACACATCCCAACTAACGCAGCTTCCGGTGCTGGACACACTATTCAGTAGAAGTATCCGTTGCGCAGATGAAAACTAGCTTTCTAATTACCTCGTTACGCATACGTCGACACCAACCCACCCTAGCTGTGGTTCTGAGACAATGGTTGTCGAAAACCTGAAGACATCTCGGTTCCGCTGCTCGCAGATCACAATGCAGGGTTCTTTTCAGCTATAGGCTTCACATAAATGGTAAATAGTGGCCACGATAATTGTTAGTCGAAGAAGTCGGTCCAATGGTCGAGACGTTCTTCTTTAGTTAAGATGTCACTCCACTCTGATCCTCATTGGCTTCACTCGCAGGTGGTTTTCAAGGACCGGGTGCACAGATCAACTGAAATGTTTAGGCATTCCCAGCACTCTAGGCCTCCTCTATTTTATTAGCTTTCCGAGTGCACCATGCTTCATGGTCGGCACCAGCACCCACTTTCACTTGACGTCTGCTAATTCGTCTAGCCAAATTATTTTTGGGGCCGGCGGGGACGTCTTTGAGATTAAAGCAGTGCCACTCTTCTTTCTGACACCCAGTGCTTGAGCGGGCCCGCTGGCGCCGTACCACAGGGGAAATTCCTAGTACTGTGAAGAGAGGTGTCGATCAGTTGGAAGAGACTCCAGACGACGATTCTCGTAAATTCGTCTAACATCCGGATGGAAGGAATGGCATACTATCGGAATCCAGAAAAGTGTTTCAAAAATGACAGCCAGTAATTAATCCGCGCTATCGGTAACTGATGGCACGGACACAATGTGGTCAGAGGACTCACACCCAAGGCGTCATAAAACTTGTCTTTGATGGTGGCAGAGCTACGGTCAATTGGGGCGTCAGTAGACGCAACAAAGAGATGTCGATCAACCGCTCGCTTGTTGGGCTTCTTCACAGGCGTTTCCAGACTAACCGCACACGGATGACTATCAACCCGTATCCAGTAAAGCAAAGATCCTTCCGCTCGGTGACTTAGAATGATACCAAACCCTGCACATCCTGTTTCAGTAGCCTCTGGATCGCCAGAGGTGCACAACCGGAAGCGAGTAGAGAGTGATGCGACGGTTGGCTCAACCACCGTGCTTGCATCTTGAATTCTTGTTTCTGAGACACAGTACACATCAATGCCAAGCGAGTCCAGTGTGAGTGCAAGAGCAGCTTGCTGTCCTTCTTGCCTGAGTGTGGACATTGAAGGCAGTCAGATGGACTGGCCGTCAAGGCTAGAAGATTGATTTCGAGATGCCTAAGTATTTCGGCGCCATGTGACGAGCAGATGCTTCAGGTAAAACCGATCTAAGACGAACGGAGTCATCAGTCCTAAGTGCTGGGCCCACAAGAGGAGAGTATTAATGGGGTGGGGAGAGGGAAGAAAAAGTAGATGGAAGAGAAAGAAAGGCCTCAGCAGTAGCTTGTTTTCACTCATCCACCCTGCTGTATGCAGCAAGTAAGGGGACCCGGTTGATGGCACCACGCGACGACCGATGTGGCATGAATTTATCTGTATAGGTGTAGTTTGCGGTTGTACGTGGGATGGAATACTGTTAAGGAGCTCACACCTAAACATGAGGACGATTAGAGTCCTTAATTAAAGCGTTTCCCTTAAATACTTGACCGCAACCCAGCAGTTTAGCGAGAAATGCACGTGCTTTGCATTTTTGTAGAACAATTCACCACACGTATTCCAAACCTTGACTTGGAGGACCAGGGACTGTGTTCGCCAGATCTCTAACCATTGAGTGTCGCGAAGACACTCCCAGTATAGGTCAATGGGTCACGGAGGCACACATCCACACCCATCCCTTTTTGACGGGTCTGAAGATCGATACTTATGAATTCCCAGAGAACAAAGACACATGCGGTGAGTAAAAGTCGGTCACTTTAACTCGTGTAGATAGTTTCAAGAAAATTGACAATCCGTGAAAGGAACTTTTGAAACAGGGACGGAGCTCTGATAAACTCCATTTTTGAGAAACCTATTTAAGTAACCTGTCAAACTTTCAGATGCGCACATCATGTAATTTTTCACAGCCAATGAACTGGTTCCATATCTTGTGATCATAAAATGTTCGAGATATGAATGTAGACCTCTCTAAGTTGTGCTAAGTGGGTTCAATACATAGCCTTTGAGAAGTATGATTGTCGGACTTATGACGGCTGCAATTCCGTGAGACGAGTTATATGTATCGACTTCATCTCTTCCACACAAACCATATACAAGGACCAGGATTATCTGAATAAACTATTTTTTTCCAGGATTTCCAAGTATTACATTAGCCAGCTCACAGCTTGGAACTCCACTGAAAATATCTGGGTTATCATTTGCTTCTGTTCTCTTATTCGGGGCTGTCGTAATTCAGGCACAAAATTATCCCCAAGTTCATAATATTGTTATGCTTTTACATCAACCACATACTGCAACGCCCTGTTCCGGTTACACAAATCACCGCTCGCATGCTTCTTGCGAACGCGGCCGGCAGTGGCTTTGTAGGGGTTCCACATGGTTCCCCATGGATTCCCATCAAATGTGAAGTAGCCCTCGTTTTTCGAAAAAGTTTGGTAACAATCGGTGGATTTATTGCTGGGCAACGTTTCGCTTTTGACACAAAAGCTTCGTCAGGTCAAATGACTAGGTTCCGAGGTTGATCGAGATTTAAGGCGGAAGGAGAACCAATCAGGCAAGTCAAGCTAAATCTCTGTTGGGTGCCGGCCGAGGGGTTTTAGTGTTCTAGAGTGGCTGAACAAGTGTTGGGTCGGTGGGGAAACCTACATGTGTTTGAGTCCAGCCTAGGGTCTAGTTCTTCTGGTTCGGTTCATTTGATGGTTCCTTTTGAACTTCGTTTGAACCTTCTGTCAGTCTGTGTGGGTGAGCTAGTGCTTGACTTAGCTGATTGGTTCTCCTTCCGCCTTAAATCTCGACCAACCTCGGAACCTAGTCATTTGGCCTGACGAAGCTTTTGTGTCAAAAGCGAAACGTTGCCCAGCAATAAATCCACCGATTGTTACCAAACTTTTTCGAAAAACGAGGGCTACTTCACATTTGATGGGAATCCATGGGGAACCATGTGGAACCCCTACAAAGCCACTGCCGGCCGCGTTCGCAAGAAGCATGCGAGCGGTGATTTGTGTAACCGGAACAGGGCGTTGCAGTATGTGGTTGATGTAAAAGCATAACAATATTATGAACTTGGGGATAATTTTGTGCCTGAATTACGACAGCCCCGAATAAGAGAACAGAAGCAAATGATAACCCAGATATTTTCAGTGGAGTTCCAAGCTGTGAGCTGGCTACGACGCTCGTAGCTGTAGCGTCCAAGGTGCCTCTGCCAATTTTTTGCGCACGCTGATTGATTACCGGGGGAAAAGAATCCGTAAAAATCAAGCAGGGTCTCGTCCTAGCTGAGGACGCATCGACCGTGTTCTCACGCTGAGAAAGCTTCTCGGACAGTGCCCTTATTTCAAAAATCCAATTATATAGAAGTTGTTTTTGACTCTAGATCGTCAGAATCCTTGGCAATTGGACATGTCCCTTGTAAATTATCTAAAGACGCTGTGCGCCAGCGTACAAATATACAGCAGTCTGCTTGAGTTCACGTACAGTGTAAGATAAGGCTGATCTGTCACCATTCCTCCGCAACCTTGTTATTGGCTTGCATTTTAAAATTTCTCTGCCCACCTCTAAAACCTCGAGGGTCGGAATACTTTCGACACGTTCGCTCACATACACTGAGGATGCGTATGATGTTCCTATACTTGATTTGGATCTCTTAGAGATGCAAACCATTTTAAATGACCTAGATAACTCTTCCGCGCTGTTTGGTGCGTGCCCCGTATCCGCAGCTTGTAGAGTGCTGCTACAAAACCCGGTAGCATCAAACTGAAGATAAACCAGCTGAGACGAAAAATAAATTAATTAATAAGTTCCGTTTGACTCGCCTGAGATAGGACCACTGTTCATATCGGGAAATCCAGGATAGCTGTTTCCAAGTTTTGCTACTTATGCACCGTCGTGACATCAGTTCATCCTTCAAGGGCAGAGTTAACACTGCGATGCTGCGATCTGTACTGCTCAACAGCATGAAACTACTAACAAACAAACACATTGGATTTGGCGGCTACCGCATCCGTGGATCCGGGACTTAACTCAACAGTGATCACTGACAGTGGCGTGTATGGTTCAACCACATAGTCAGTGACGCCAGTGTATCTAACCTATGGCAACCAGTGCGTAAGTATCCGGTCTGTCGTTCTGCCGCATCAGTCACTGGTCTCTGATGCCTGTGTACACCCTCACTAGCGTCAAATTTTTCGGGGACCGGAAGTGTAGCGTCCTGGATCAATGTGCTTTATCTCTGGTCTCCTAGTTTCAACTTCCTCGGAGAACTTCTCTCAGACTTTGAACTGATTTCCAGGTACCTCTCGGTCGTAATTAAGATCCGATGTCAACCAGTTACGGAAACGCGCAATGTCGCATAAACATCCAGCTGTTACCCCAAAAATAGTTGTCACTATAGAATCAGCTTTCGCAGCCCCAAAATCGCACTGCTGCTATCTTGAAATGCAAGCTTTGTTCATCTCTCCAGGATTGGTATCGTTGGTAGACTTCAACGAAAAACTGGCACACCTGGAATCCATCTTGATTTTGTGCGCTACCTTCAAAATTTTTGATTGGCAAAGCAAAGTTAGACTGACCCCGGCGTTCCGCAACGAAGTCCCGAATGAGCAAATATTTCGTAGCGAATCAGTTGTAGAATAAAAAAAATAATAACTCTCATCTGGCTACGGTGGCTTGGATATGTAGTGGTGAAAGATTCACAGCGGACGGACGATGATATGACAACGCCAGACGAAAGTGCTTACAGCCGCAATAACTTCTGTGACCTGACTGGAGTCAACATGATCCTCTGTGAGCGTGGCTGGAAACCCTGCAGGGTATGGCAAGTAATCGATCTCCGTTGCGAGCATGCTGTCGTTCCCTATTCGGACTACTTGGGTTTCTGATGTGTTGAGTAAGTCTCGCAAAGGATACTTGAGCTATTCCACTGGTGGTGGCTTGCTTCGGCCTGATATCCAGATCTTTTTCGAAAAAGTTTGGTAACAATCGGTGGATTTATTGCTGGGCAACGTTTCGCTTTTGACACAAAAGCTTCGTCAGGTCAAATGACTAGGTTCCGAGGTTGATCGAGATTTAAGGCGGAAGGAGAACCAATCAGGCAAGTCAAGCTAAATCTCTGTTGGGTGCCGGCCGAGGGGTTTTAGTGTTCTAGAGTGGCTGAACAAGTGTTGGGTCGGTGGGGAAACCTACATGTGTTTGAGTCCAGCCTAGGGTCTAGTTCTTCTGGTTCGGTTCATTTGATGGTTCCTTTTGAACTTCGTTTGAACCTTCTGTCAGTCTGTGTGGGTGAGCTAGTGCTTGACTTAGCTGATTGGTTCTCCTTCCGCCTTAAATCTCGACCAACCTCGGAACCTAGTCATTTGGCCTGACGAAGCTTTTGTGTCAAAAGCGAAACGTTGCCCAGCAATAAATCCACCGATTGTTACCAAACTTTTTTCGAAAAACGATGACTACCCAATCGGTTCCAAGTATTTTTGATTGAATTGAAGTAGCCCTGTTTATAGGTCAAGATAAAAGGTGGCTGCCTCTATAAGTACCGTGTTGGAGGCGCTTCGACCTAAATAACAACCAATCGGTTCCAAGTATTTTTCACGTGATTGAAGTAGCCCTGTTTATAGGTCAAGATAAAAGGTGGCTGCCTCTATAAGTACCGTGTTGGAGGCGCTTCGACCTAAATAGTACAACAACCAATGCGTTCAATCAGACATACTGCAGGACAACTAACCTGCTAATAGTTATGAGCAACTCTTTTAGTCCTTCGTTTTATTCGTCCGTCCTACAATTCAGGAATGACCTTGTGCCAACAATTGCTTATCCTCACTGATACTCGGGTCTCATCACATCCTAACTGCCTGATCACCCACGGGCACCATTAAGTACCAACAAGTAATGCTCGCTTAGAGCTGACTCAACATGCATACTTTTAACTGTTTGGCCCGGACAACAACACTGTCCTTGAAACTCCCTCGTAATGTAGGGTTAGATTCGTCACAGAATTTGGGGCTGTTAGTAGGCCCACTGGAACAGTAATTTACTCTGGCTGAACTAAATCCAGATAGCCCGACGGACAAGATGAGGGATTCATACCTGAAAATTCAGAGTTTGCGGGAGTTTTCAACTTAATCCCCTCCTGGGAGAATGTATCTTATTCGTTTTAGCAATAAAGAAGTAACAGATACTTCCAAGACTCTGACGACCATTTCTTGCTGAGTTGCCTACCACAAACTGACCGTTGCAATCCATTTACTGAGGTGATCAGAGTTCAGTTCCAAAATGTGATCAGTTCTCCCGGGCTCTCTTCCATCCAAATATTTGCGAATTAACGTTACCACAAAAATAGACATTCAAGTTGCTGACAGTCCATAGACTTTGTCACCTTACATGGCACCTGATTGGAAACTGGTACATACGTGATGACTAACGCAGCCCTCAAAACATCCCTTTCACAAGATCCTCAATCTGTGCCACACATCCACGACAGTTGAACCATCGTACTGCTTCTTTTGAGACTGATCGGAAGTCTGACACCTATTCCAACTGATCATATCGTCAAATCTGCGGTTACACTTTGTTTGGCCTGCTGGTCAGGTGTCATTTGAACTCAGAAATATCATCCAGGCTTTTGAGTACCTTGTGAACGGTAGATGCGACCTAAATCACATGCATCTTTGACCCTACATCTCTCCAGCCAGTCCGATCTACACACAGAACGTATCATAATTTCGTGTCTTTAACGATACAGGAATACACTCAGGTAAAACTTAGACGGTTTCACTCACAATTGGGTCCGAGGCGCACGCAATCAGCCCATTGACTCAAAAAGACTGAAGCAAACTACCTAATGGATTATTGCCGATATCCTATTCGAACTCGCACAAAAATTGGGTCATCACGAATCTACTATGCTGGATATCGAAGCGCGTTAGATAAGGCCAGGAAATCTTTGCCGCATTCAGTGCAGTCAAACAGGCCTGCACATCTGCGGTTATGCCACGTTAGCGGGACCAGTCTGAGTTACAGTGTTCACCAATGAGTGTAACCAGACACCTCAATACACTGCAAACTCGAAACTGACTTCCATACCAATATCAGAATAGATACGTCAAACCGTCTAGCTGTGACATTCACTTCGTGTATAGCTGTGATGTAACCCGAAGGAAGCACAGGGTTGAGATAGTGCCAGGATGTCCAAACCCAGCCACGAAATGATCATCAACTCAAACAAAATCCGACCAGAAGGCAGCTGGTGGATGCTCATATATAGATACAGTATTGCAGTTCTTTAAAAATCAAGTCCACATACATTTTCAACCCCCAATCTGGAGGACTAATGAACTGTGTTCGCCGAAACTGTGTTTATCGAACAACATGGAGCGAGAGCCTAAAGCACCACAAGCCCCTCGGTAATTTGACTGACGCAATAAACCTACAGATGCACCCATTTCACATTGACTTGTCCGCACTAAATTACAAATAACTAGAATACAGAATTCTAGTCTGTTATATCAAACAGAACTTCGCGCGTCCAAACGAAACTCGATGCGAACGTATGCTACTTTGGACAAGTTGGAAGAACTACGCAAGACTCTACCTTATCAGTGACCGACCAGTTCCTATCTACAAGACCATCCTTTCTGTTACAAATCATTGCAGAGGTGTTTTGGACAGTCATTAAAATACAAATTACCATGTTTCACAGGAAAACTGGAGGTCATCGCAGACACTGATGCAGGAATATGTATACCGAAAAAAATCAAGATGTTAATTTAACTGAAATGAGCAATGAACCAAACTACACCATGGGGACCATGCTGGTCATCTTGATTTATACGCCCATACTAAATTAAAAGTCATACTAGTGATTTGAGAAAGGCTTTATTTAGATCTATTGCACCTGACAGAACAGGAGGATAATTGGACAGTCAAACCGGAAAAGAAACGAAAACCAGTGTCTGTGTGAGTTGTGTACATGATTATTGATGGAAAAGTAGAGAAGATAGGGATAATTACCAAATGAAGATGTTTGTTGGGGTGGAAATGCGTTTCTCATGATGAACTAGTGCACGATGAAACAGAGCGAGAATATATCGGGATAAGGAACTGAGGAGAAAGAAAGCTGACTCGTTAAATGCCACGGAAAACATAAAAAGATAGGTAGAGATCAGAGGCGCACGGTAAGTGTACAGATTATAAACTCGACTGCAAGGTAGAAAAAACACGTCCACTGAACCAAGTTTAAATGAGATAAGTGAAAAGAGCATAAGCACAAGTAAGTGCACGGAACACCGGCAATCAGTGAACCGAATTATATCTGCAGGGAAATGCGTGTTCACGTCACCGACGCGCATAAGGGGCCACTGCTCCAATTTATACTATTGTGCCTGGCCACGAGACAATACGCAACTTCACTTCACCTGTGCAGTGCTTCAGCAGTGCAACTGCATGGGCATGCGAGATGTCCGTTAGAGGGTACTGGTCAACCGAAAGGAGGATATCACCACATCTACAAAGTTGGATAAAAGTATAAACAGATAAAGGGGGGGGGGATAGCGAAGCTCAACAGTGACAGTCAAAAATTAGTTGGGATATGAAGAAATATATGGAATGGCCTCCAAAGGGCGGAGGAACGGTAGCATCTTGATCTGATTGTCCAAAAAATGACCTTATCGGTCAAAATATATCGCTTGCATTTTATCAAGCTGGAAAATAGCTGAGTCACGATTTGGACGCCCTTCACCTACGATGCGTTCCACCCAGGAGAGGACTGGCAAATTTCTGAAGCGGACACCGGACTATTCAGCATACCGTTCTGGTATCAAGTTTCTAACTACAACTCGACACTTCCAACTTCATGGCAAACTAAAGTGAAGTAAAGTAGCTGGGGGTTAAATCCAGGTTTTATAATCCCCGGAAAGGAGCACCAAGAATCGCATGTTTAAACAGTAGTAGTCACTTGTTTCAATATGGTCTTTCGATAGGTTGTATCACTTGTACATCAGTAGGACGAGCTGTCGGCGAATCCTCTTACTGTACCAAACAAGGGCAATCACCTGCACATAAGAGATTAAAAGGTAATATTGAAACGGCAAAAAAGAAAAGTTATTACACCAATATTAATTAAAATTTGACAAACACGCTGGAAATATGGTGCTGCAGCCTGTATTTACAAGGAGTTCTCGCACGAAAAAACGTTATCCTGTGGCCCCAAGTTTCTTACTAATGAATCGTCTTCAGATAGTGCATGCGAGAACCCTCAACCTTAAACCAACTTATGGAAATAATGCGTACTATGGATTGCTTTAGTCACCCAAGTTGTCCCAGTACTGGCCCACCTCAAGCACTCCGAATTGTTCAAACGGACAATCGTTACAGAAGGGACATCGACCTAAGAAAAGTTCTGGTGACCCCATCCTGGAAGGCGGACCATGCCAACAACACCCACACTTTTCAAACTTTTCTTCCAGCTCATATTCACTCCACGTTTCGCATTATTCTGAAACAGACGTCGAGGACAACGCTGGTCATGGTAGATGATGATTCGGCTTGCATTACACGTCGTGGTCGAGTCACCACAGTTAATGTTTCTGTAGGTTTTCTGAGACTGAATTGCCTGCCGCACAACCAAACGCTCGTTTTCTAATTACTACAAATTCGATTCGTTGACGTCATCTAGTGCTACAGGGCTTCCACAACCAAACGCTCGTTTTCTAATTACCTTGTTACAAATTCGTTGACGTCATCTAGTGCTAACAGGGCTTCCGAGACTTCGGTGGTCAACGGCCTGGATACGCCTCGCATCCTTTTCCCTCAGACGCCAAACCTCACAACCATTCAACAGCACGACGCGTCCTGTAATTTGGTGTGTGCGACCCCAGAGACCTATTAGTATGCCCTTTTAACGCGAATTAGCAAGCCGACTCGAACGTTTCACTTGACCAGACACATCTCCCTTACAGACAAAACAACTACCTCGATAGCTTCCACTGCTTCTTGAACTGTAAGAGGACATGTTTAGAGAATTCACTTTGTGAAACATGACCTTGTGCGTTTGGGTGCAGATCTGCCGAACCATGTCATGTAAATGGCTAATTTACCTGGTGGCGCATGCGCCTTGTGTTCGTCCCTAAAAAGCGAGATGATCTCGTCTGCGTACTCTGGATTGACAAGGTTCTTTTCAACAACGGTTTTGACACCGTACTCTCCAAGATTCTCCGGCGTTCGCTCCATTGTTTCATTAGGTCAAGGAGAAGAAAGACCTTGAATCTGTTTTTTACGAGTAGCGCTGATATAACACCTGACGGAGTGTGGAGCTATGGCCCGCATCCCCGTCCGAATCCCGCTTGATGCTCACTCAGCAGAACAGTGCATTTCGGGAAAACACCTTTGGCAAATATCGGACTATCCCGTTGAAGGGGGAGGTTCTCGTTAAGAAAAGGCGATTATTATTCGTCTCCCATGCCGTCTGAAAATAACTAGGAGAAATGCAGTCGCCTACCGATAGATCTAACATTTTCAGTCACCTATTGAACTGGAGCTACAAACAGGTGAAAAAGGCACAAGGCTATTCGATCGACCAAACCTATCGGGACTGCAGGGTGGCACTCAATCAACACAACAAACAACGTGAATCGGCGTAAAATCGGTCGTAGTATTTTCTCCCAGAGAGCAAAAGAACCAATTCAGGTACCCAGAACCAATACCAGTACGCAACTGAGAGCACTCCTTCACTGAGGGGGGAGTGTCATATCAAACATTCGTTACTACGAAAACCTGGACGGAAGTGCTTCCTCATAGAAGAATATTGCGACTGCAAGTGGTACACTTCTCCAAACAATGGTAATAAAAAACGCCGAACAGATTTACAGACAGGTGGGCGGTATGTGAGGAAAACGGGAGACTCACTTCAAGCGGCCGTCACGAAAGCAAGGCGAGCCAGGGACGATGGATTTGATTACGATCGGTCTTGGGAGCGAAGGTCTCTGGTCCTTGGTAGCGTTTCCCTTGGAAGAAACGGAACAAAAAGTTGGTAACTCCGAACAAACAACCAAGTTAAGGCTGCTCCACCAGACACTCAACAGAATCTAATCGCAATAGGAATCGGTGGCAGTTTCTCTACATTTTGTCGGATTCTATCGGGAATTAATTTAGTAAACTCGATCGAAGGGTATGGGAGCAATGTGCTGGTGCCTTTTTCATTCGATAAAGCCTAGATGACGGAGGTGATTTACGATAAAAAGCCATCCGTGAGCGAATGATCCCTCTAAATTACACAAAAAAGTTGCGGGATAGACGAACGGAGAGTCCATTGTTAATTCTTCGAGATAGTGATATATTCAGATCGATTCAACGAAATAACACATTAGCGGCATAATTTGTCGGGAGTTACGGTGTACACAAGTTCCGCCGCAAGGACCGTGCGTGTATATTACTGACTCAAGGATGCGCACTGATTTTAGAGATACAAGCAGAAGTTAACCATAGTAGTAGCATGTGACTAGGAAAGAGTGTGAACCAATAAGGAAAAAATTGCCTTACGACATCTTCAATAAAAAAGGAAAGCATCAGTTCAACAGTGAAACCTCGTGTTTGCAATAAGCAGATAAATGAATGAGTGAATTGCGTCACTGTTTACTAGTGTCTTGTTTACAAACGGACTACAATAGTGCAACGTCAGCGAGGGTAACGGAGATTTTCAGAGCATGTTGACCTTGAAAAATGACGTACAATTATCTGCCTGTTCGAGAGAATGACGTGAATGTATAGACGATATTGTTAGTGCATAAACAGAATCCTCATCGAATGCGGTTCAGAGTGTTTCATAGGTCTTCGCAACAATTGATTTCGGTCGCAGTTTACACATAGTGTACAGAAAGCGCATTAAGTCACTGTGAGTTCCTTCACTATTTCCTCTCAAATTAGACGTTTCAAATTCGGAACGGAGGTAAGTAAATCCACTTGGTGACTGTCGATAGTTATAAAACAAACTGGAGGGTGCGGAATTCTAAGTAGGCTGTCATGCATACCAGAGTAAAAACCTAACACCAACGGGTGTTCTCACAACGCCACAGTGGTATATCACACAATGGGTGGCGCCTATCGTACTTAACACAAGCAACCCAATTATGACATGTCTGCATGTGAGTGATGCCCATCACGGATGTCACATCGCACAGGAAGCTGAAAAGGCAACAAGTGGTCTAACAGTATGTGGACCGAGTGAACGGGAAAGACATGTCGATAACGACATGCATAGGTTCCTGGTAATCTCTTCAAGAAGTTTTATTCAGACTGTGCCTGAAAAATCAGAAAGTGAACCATTACTTTAGGGGATCGGTAAATCTAACCCGATGGTAATCGTGTGTGTGTGTGTGTGCACTACGCGAGTACAGATGCACCCTCCTCTACAGCTGAAAAATTTGACAACTAGAGAGTTAATCTGGCCAGTTGAATGGGACCCATTCAACGGCGCACTGACGATGTATCCTCGACTGGGGACGAAATGTTTACAAGCCAATTGCCAAGCTCGGCGAACAGATCAACTGCCATCTGATCAACCACCAGTAAACACACCCGGGCTACCCATATTTCGACAAATTGACAGGAGTTAGCTTGTTCGCTGATCTTGGAGAATAATGTATTTTGAAAGAGCTTGAAAGAAGCAGCACGATGTCGTACCTAGTTCTTCACGATAAGATTCATAGTTTTGTGATTTCTGACCTGTTTTGGTGACTCTTTCCAAAATAGGGAAAGTAGTCGAAAGACGCCACTTCCCTGGCACTTAGCCCTCTTTCTACATGCAGTTAGTCAACCTTGCAATAACACACAAAATCAACCATCTTTGAAAATGACCGGTGGGGAGAGGGAGATCTGGGCAGAGTGTCTTGCTTCTTTTAAATGTTCTCGTGCTTAATGGACTCTTAATTCGGATCGCGGCTATTCCCATTGAGGCGAAAGATTTTCCATTTCTCAGGTTCTTCTCAACCATCATTCTCCGGGGGTACTTCCCAAGCCCGGGATTATTAGCCAAATTGTCGTCCTGGACTGCGACTGATGGCAGGCGGATTAAAAGAGTGTGATGTTTGTAACCAGAGATTTTTCCCATCTTCGTTCGGTAAATTCGCTCAGACTGTTAGTTAGAATATGTTCAACCATTCGGTTGAGGATGAGTCTTCCCTCCAGTTGAAAAACGAAAGGTTACTCCAAAGCATGTTCAGAGCCTGCGCACGTGTTTCAAAGGGAACGAGTCTTGAGCAAGTGATCATTATTCTTAGCTGACAGCTGTTGCACGGCTGTTTCCAGTTCGGAGGACGCTAAGTAAAATGGTTTTTGTGTGTTTAAAGTTGGATTTGGGACTAATCAGACGATGGTATGTGCGCAGCTTAATAGATCGATTTACATTTCCCTGTGGGGGAAGGAAACACTTGGGCGGCGCTCGTCCGCTGAGCATTCACCTACCAGCTCAGTCTGTGGAAGAAGGTTCAGAGTTTCGCCGTAGAACTAGTCATTGTCTAGATCACCGAGATAGCACAGGAACCATGGACCATCCACCTGCTTTTACCTGTTGTTGGTGGACTTTGGTGGTTCACACTAACATCTCACTTACAACGTGTTGTCTACAGGAATTTAGATCAACAGAGTGCCTTTGAATGTAAGGGTTTCCTACACTAGGAAAATCATATTCATAGTAGGATACCTATACACCGCAGCACGAAGTGAGAACAGCTGAAAATCTTTCAACTGTAACGCCCTTCCTGTACCTAGTTGCCACACTATCCGAGGGAAACATGAGGGTTGGAATACCGCCAGGGTGTTCAAGCCTAAAGAGGAGCAGTCAAGATGGTGGGGTTAGGTTCGAACCACGGACATCCCGGTCAGTAAGTTCCCAGCATAACCACTTAGCTATCTCGAAAATAGCGAAGTGAAACTCGGAAGGTCACGGCCAACATCCAATGAAGTAAAGTGGGTACACAGAGCTGCAGTTCTGGTGGCGACCGAATAGGGAACTTATGTCGACATGGAGAACTAACTGAACTTACTGTGGAGCACTGACAAGCAACCTACCTTTGGCGGGCCATCCGGGTCAGAGTCGTTGCCACCAATGATACTGAATCCGAGACCAAGTACGGGGTCACGGGTCAAAACAACAAGCCTCGGAATCTGACAGTAACGAGGCAGTTGAAGCCAAAACAACCAACTGGGTATAAAGTTTCGCTCTTCCAAACAGTCTTCAGGACCTTTCAGCAACCGTAGAGTAACCTTTAGGAAGGAGACGGGGACAGTGCCTGAGATGCATGTTAAACATGAGTCGATTCTTTCAGACTGCAGATTATGGCACAGGGCAGAGCTCAGGCATGCACAAACAGCATATAATTCAGTTGATTATTTAATAACATAACAGTCCGACTGAAGGGGAGAATGTGTGTGAGGAAAATTTTACCGATTACAAGTGAGCTCGTAGTCAAAAGCTAACTTTCCAACTACTGGTTTCAGGTAGAGTAGCAGGTGACGGTTCAGTTTCCTAACTATGAAAACTAATCAGAACTTGAATCATGTCCTCAAGGCTTCAAGTTGTGTTGTTGTTCGTGTCATATGAAACACCGTAACAGTGGGACACCAACACTTGTGCAAACTTTTAACACATAATTATCAGACTCACCGAACAGCCGAAACTTTAGATGACCTTGTGTAAATGAGTTTTGCGAGCAAAAGTAAACATACAAGCCACTCGATAGAGTAATATTTACTAAGGCTTTTCCAACTTGGAGAGCGAATTATCGCGGTTCAGTTATGTCTATGGAGAACCACAGTCTGGTGGCTACGGCAAATTTTCTAAACTTCGATCTGCTTGGTCTGGTTAGATAACCTTTGACATCCTCGTTTCCAAGACCTTCCGAATACGCCTATACCTAATTCCACACAACCACGCAACGAAATGATTTGCAAATGGATCGCATCACTCGAATATGACACTACAGTTAGGAATTCCCTTGTCTGAGTAATAAATTGCGACAAGCGCGATGGAAGAACCGGTAGACATCCACGCGTGATCGGTTGCGATCACCAACCCTACTATGTTATTCCTTATTAGAAGAGCATGCAACCTCAAAATCACAAGGTTGCTATGTTGAGTACCCATGATGACCATATCATTGGAATTCACGCGGCTTTAGGTGGCCAGCTCCCGATAGCTGTGCGGACACTTACTTTGCTACACAGAACAGTCTTTTGCGTTGCGGTCCCAGGGTCTAACAGAGTGACGTGCCCAAGGCCCCAGAAACCTATAGTGTTAACAGTGAACCGCGTATGCAGTAACAAAATCAACTGTAGGTGGTTTCCAAAAGGATCGGTGAAATGGCCACAAACTGCTGCGAAAGTCAAATAGACATAACTACCCTTGTTGACACGGTCGCCCTCATCCACACCGACTGTGTGTCGGCCCATAGGATGAGGGCCTGGTTAAATACAACCGAGCGCAGTCAATGTGTTCTAGTTCGAAAGCGATGGTGCTTCCAGGACTTTTAAGACATGATTCGTCTTGTAAGAGGTCTGTTGTAGTGGACTCCCGTTACGGTAAAACGGAATATATCCACCTTCCATCAGTTTGCTGCTCAAAGAAAACATGATAATCACTGAGAGACCACTCTCTCGCCAAAACAGCGCTCTCCACAACAAGGAGATCTATCTTCTAGAAGGCCCCTAGTGAGAGCTTGCAAGAAACCGTCCTGCTACAACTAACGCGTCCAGTGACCTTGAGAGGTTATCATAGTATATCAGATTCCTTAACGCGCGTGCCATTTCCCTAGGCATTGATAACCCGATTATGTGAACACAGAGTTCGTGCTGTCGATGACGATTGTCGAGAGGGGATTACAGCGCCACACTTCCCTCGACCGTAACTCAGATGTGACCCCAGATGCAGCTTCCACCTAAAGAAGACATACGGTTATAAAGGCGTAAGTTTAGCTTGAAGCTTGATGTAACCTGAGTTGCTACAGAAATAGGCTAGTTGTGGGTGGTTGCAGGATTCGTAGAATTCACGCTCATATCACTCTCTTTTGAATAGTCATCCTCATTACCGGACGCAACCATTCTGGTGAGTTCACACCAATGGAGGGAGGAACTGGACTCGAGTTTCGCTCTTATTAGAGCAGTGCATATCCTTGGCCGTGCCGAGACCTGAACTCCGCGCATCTGACATGCGAGGCGAGCGTCTTACCACTACTCCAGCAGCACATGTTGGACACATCTGAATTTTCACGTCTAAACAAGTGAGCATGTGAGTGGTAAGCCCGACGCCTCAAACGATGACCCAGTAACACCTTGGTTCTATGGATTGTTTGATTCCCCTGTCAGTACCCCCCAGTCAGGTAATGCCACAAACGCTTGAAACCTGCTGGACACTTGTGTTTAGCTGTTAGTGGTTACGGAATTGGCAAATGCACGTATTATGCGCAGGAGTGCCGCTGATTGCGTGAGTGAGTGGGTGCCAACAATTATTGATGAGATGAATTCCCATCCAGATGGGAAGAGTTGTCAACCCGACTGTTTGTTGACTACGGCTAACTTCGTTCAGCATAGCACCGAGCTAAAATAAATAACTCTGAAAGGTAGACGGTCCTCTGATACGTGAAATACATCTACTAAGCAGACTGACATATGAAGTGTGCTTAGCTACTTTATCCTGGGGGCATCTTTTTATTAGACAAAGCACTGATATTTCGACGTTCTTACCGGACCTGGTCAGTGTTTTGGAGCTACGGATAATGAAACACCAACAGCTTCGTCACACACAACAACAGTGATGGTTGCGACTGCATCTCGTTAGAACATGCATGTGGCATATCTACCTGAACAGATTCGTTCTTTTGGGTTACTGCCCATCAAATCAAAAAAACTCCAACAGTTCGGAAAAACACTCCCAGTACTCAGCTACTGGTAAGCTCTGCAGACCACTTGGATAAGAGTGCAGTTAGCGTATCAGGCGCAAGTGATTTCCCAAAGTAAAAGAAGACCTCGGATCCTGAAATGCCTCACCAGAAAAACATGTCTCCTGGGTTAGGAATTGCTATTCTGCAGTGATTTAGTGTGCTAAAGTATGAGTAAATATTTTAAACTGTCGAATTTTTCGCAAATTCCCGGTGAATTTCGTAAGTCTGGACACCTGCTCTCAATTGTTCATTATATTTAAAAGGCTTCGCGAAAGTCCTTTCACATGCAACTGCTCTTCTACACTGAAAACTAACGCCTCTTGCGCCATTTCACTGACTTGAGACTTGAGATCATTTGTAGATGTAACGGTGCAGGATTTACTGAACAAAGCTCCTGAGAAAAAGCTACGACCGTAAGCTCGGAATAAACAATCACCAGTCGGAGTAGACAGGTTTCGGGCTTTCTGACCCACTTTCGCATATTAAAACGAAACGTCATCAGGCTGACAAAACTTTCCCAAGTTCGTACAGTGCACTTGGGTTTCTAGTGTGTACGACTGAGATTCAGTGACCAACGTTTGTGTCCCCACATACAAAGGCGAGCATTAGAGTCTGTCGACTGACCAGATCATCACAATTAAACTGAGTCATGCACCGCACTAAGCTCCAAGTGATCAAACAACTCGTACTGACAAACAGAGGTTTACTATGCGGCCGGAATCCAGCGACAATTGAAAGCGTACTTGTAGTCTTCATCCAGAGAAAGCTCATAAAATCTTAAATCACTTCACCTTCAAGATGTCTCTTTTATGAATGTAGCGGCGCCAAGAGAGGCTATCCGCGTGCAAAAAAAGTGAGGGCGGTCCTTATATTCAGTCAGGATGATTAAGCAGCTCATAGAAAGGTACACCTAGCGTACGGACAACAAAAGCTCGCTGTTTCACCTGGTTTGAAGGTAGCAAAGTGAGCCCAGAGGCTCAGTCTGAAGCCTGATTCTGTGGTGTCTGAGATTGATCGCATCACTGGACGTGGAAATATGCTGCCATAAAATGTGGGGGTAATGTGAACAGAATAACCAACACCTACGCCGGGGTTTGTGGCGTAAATGGCGCAGGAAAATAGGTCAAGAAAGTAGGGAAACGTCGGCAGCAGTCTAGTGGCATCTATGCACAGGAAGTACGGCGACGGACAACGTACCTCTGAGGGTTGAACGGCTTGTGAACCGCCCGAACAACCCAGGCAAGACACGAAACCGATACCTAACCTCTTGAGTTAGTTAACTGCGACCAAATAGACGTCTCACTGACTAGTCTCTCAGTCTATAGTAAACTTGCACCACCTAAGTTCAAAATTATGAATTCACGGATTTTCTGTTGGATTGTGTTTTACTCCTATGGAACTAACAAAAAATCATTGTAAAGATGCAACGGCCAGCCGAAGTAAACAATGATAAGATGCATTAGTGCATATTCAAAGGTTAGGAATGCGAACATCAGTAAATTTCAAACAGCTGAATGTCGACCGGGTGCCAATCCACAGTAGGTTAGAAATCGCCTAAGCATTGCATCAAAGTTCGGAAACAATGTGCGGTGTATTATTTGGAAATAGAATAGAGGAGTCACCAAGTCAACTGGTAATGTATCGATATTACTATTGAATTCTACCGAAGACAGAACAGTTACGAGCACTGAAATGATCACTTACCTGTACGCATGAATCCCTGGCCTTTTTCAAGGCTTCGACGGCGCGTTCATGGGATAGTCCGAGCAGCTCAATCTCGTTGACAGCCAAAAGGATATCACCTCGAAAGACACGGCCGGACAGAGCAGCGATTCCGTTGGGATGAAGGTTAGTCACGTAGATCGGAACATCACCCCGCTGACTGGCCACTCCACCTGCAACGGACATTCCCAAGGATTCTCCAGGTCGTTTCGGCAAAACGACAACCTACAGTAGAAGAAACCGAGTGTTCATGGCACTGACAACAATCAACAAAAAACTAGGGAACATCATAGATGCAATTGGGTTTCCGACGAGTTCACACAATCACGTAAGTGCTCTTATTTGTAAATGTGCACATTCAATAGCACGCCCTGGGGTAAGTGGAGCCAAGAAATGTAGACTGAGGTTAAAATTACTACCAAGTGGTCCAAAAAAAGTACGTTCACTCAGGGGACTGTAATAGACAAGCTAACGTATCAAGGCATTCGCGAGCCACTTCTAACAACATAGAGGAATCATATCGAACGTTTCGGCAGCTTCCAATATTCTCAAGCGGACAGTCCTAAAGCGATTTGGTGGCACCTGAGGATTTCCAACGGTCATGTTAGCGGCAATCACACTGATTTGGCGCATGACCGGTTCGCTCCTTAATCAGCTTGAAGTTCGTCTTACTTCAGGAATCACCAGTTTACGCAGAGCTAGTTACAGACGGACCACATTTAACCCCCATTTATTGAATGATGCTGCCAAGACAAATTCAGGGCTACTGTAAGACTCTCCGTCAGAATCGTGAGAAGTCAGAAAGGTTGATTCCTAAAGAACGGTATACCAAGAACTTTTAACGCTGGATCAAGTTAATCCCCCGATTTCACCGAATGAGTCATGAAATACAAGTGTCCCGGGAAAGTTGTCTTGGCGATTGGAGCAACCCACAGCCCCACATTAAACCAGGAAGATAGCGTGCATCCTCTACAGTTTACTTTGCAGATCCGTGGACTTTATCGATTTATTTGATCTGTTTATAATTGTATGGACCCCGCTGGATAAGCAAAATGAACCTCGTTCATGTGGTCAGTTCGAGCCCTCGCCTAGTAGAAGTCGGTTGAAAACCAGTGGTTCTTCATCACGTTAGGTGAAACTATGAAGATGGTACGAAAGAAGAAGACCCATTCACATTTCATAATTGTCCGGTTCCACAGGCTCGATCTACTAACGTCAGAACTCACTCCATCCAGACAAAACCACAGCAATCGATCGTTTGGCGGGTTCATAAACCTCTATGGTCAATTGCAGTCAGTGCAAGCGATATGACGGGGGAAATTGTATCAAATGATTCTTACACCAAAGGTTCACAGACCCCTTTGGATATCAGTTCTCACAGGGTGAAGAAACGGGCATGTGCAAGAAATAAAACCGGATAAAGTTCACAAAGACCTGAGATGCGGGAAGGGTACGTACCCGTTCTTGGCAAACGCAGACGCCGGAAGCAAGAGTCGACCCCACATCCAGAGGAAGATTGGAGAACGCAGAAATAGATGCAATTTTGGAGCTGGTAGACTGAAGTGTACCCGACTCGGCCGTTGTACTTAATGTGTTTGTCCGTGACTGATTATCCGGTAATTCGCAGAATTCCACACATTTGGAGACATTCTCACCACTCGCGGCACGAATAATATCTGGAGTCTGAGGTCGAGTTATTCGAGAAACTACAAGAGCCACTTGTTCGCCTGCATCCTAGTAAAGCGAATAACGCAGTGTAAGTTAACATTGAAGCAAAGATACTTCACAACGGTGACTAAAAGCTCAGCTAGCCAGTTCAGATGGGTTTGAAAATGGATATACTGTAGAGTATGAAGTTCAATAAACTAGAGTCTGACAAAGATACCAGATAAAAAATCAGTCAGCTGTAACACACTTTCGGTGCAAAGCTGACATGTCACCCAGGTTACCTACACCTAGAAAGGAGTAGTCGAGATGAAGGGGTCAGGTTCTAATCACTGACCTTGGCTGATTAAATGTGGCATTCGCCTTAGTACCCGTGAAAGAGGCTGGCAGAGTGCAACTTGGTATTTACTCTAACCGACACTATCTTTTTAATGAAACTGAAGTAGCAGTAAAGGTTGTATGTCGTTCGAGCACAGGCCCAATTTTCCAGAAATTTTAAGCATCTAGTTCCACCACAAATGAATATGGAATGGCTCGGGAAAGTTCTTGGAACAAGTGAAAAAACAGCGTTTTGCATATAGTCTATTACTTTTATTGTCTGCAGGTGAAGAGTAGGTCTAGGTCTCGTTTACGAATGGAAGATAAAAAGCATATGGACAGCACATTCCTTCAGAATGTGGCAGAGCAGAATGGATTGGTGCTTCGTATCTGAAGTTGACATGACAGGTATGCTGAGAAGGTGAACCGACGATGAGCTAAAAGGAAGGTAGTGAACGAACGAGGATGATCGCCCGAGGAATGTACATTTGGCCGTCAATACCAGGGGATGTTAACAAATAATGACATTAGACTACTCATGAGTAGGCACAAACGTATAAATGTATACAAAAAGCCTCATCTTAAGCGATCCCTAAGTCTGACTGCTCTTGGGCTGCGTCACAGTCGAAACTGCTTTTTGTCGAGCGAAATGTGCTCAGTTGTCTCCAAATCAACCGAAACAGTTACGATCTGAGACTATATGACACAAAACTACTACCAGATGGAGTCAGGATACCCTATAGGCACACTACAGCCCATGCACTGAATTCCATAAAACGAATTCAAGCCGCGATATTGAAACCAAACACCAATTGGTGAGTCCCTTCCTTGTATGTTTTTATTATAATTTTTCTCACAATAAATCTCTCAAAGAAATTATTGTTGCAAAGTAGCGAGGCAATAGGTGTTGAGTGATGTGTTGTTGAAGATGAATCGGCGATTCACTTGAGACACTGTTCACCCGTGAAACGAGGCGAAGCACAGCTGAAAGGGCTGTGAGCAGTTTGGTCGACTATTCACAATACCCTCGAAAACAGGGAAAACCCAATGAAAAGAAGAGCAGTAGTTCTACCGTCGGAGTCCAAAGGGAATCTACAGGTGAACATTTTACTCAGCAAGATGATTAGAGGAACGCAAAAAGTAGTGGATCGAAATTCGTAAACACAAAAGCATAGTCGACGAAATAAGCACAGTTGGAAAGCCTATGCCTTACTGCAATCAGCTGTGCAGCTTGTTCCTGAGTTCCGTTGGTGAGGTCAGTCCCATTTATTTCCAAAATACGATCGTCCTTACGTAGTCGACCATCCAGTTGTGCCTGACCATCGGGTATTAGACCAAGAACGTACAGCCCGAGGCAATTTCTGGAGATGGAATACATGTCGCATTAGTCCACCACTCTATTTGGCGTGCAAAAGTTCACGTGCATCTGGGGCTTATTACTTTCGTGTTTTTCGTACATCGTGTGCTTCAACATGAAAAAATCAGGATGACAATGACAACTATGTAAAGACGGCTACAATCTATACCGAAAAAAATAAAACTCCGGACGATGGATTTTAGGTTCGGATGCATCCAAGGTCTGTGTAATTTCCTTTGAATCTATTTCCAAAAGAGCTGGCGAGATGATGCAGTTCGATATAACTCCACGCAATTTTACACAATGGGGGTAGCTCTGGTGCAAGGCTTGGCTGTTGGTTTGTTCACCGAGCTTGGTCACTGAAATGCGGACTCTCGCTGTCAATGGAGTTGGTTTCGTCAGTGCGCACAGGATATACACTATTGAATGAAGACGAAATGCCTACAATCCAACAGCCAAGTTCGACGTTCAAACCAAAAACTCAGTATCTGCACGCTTTATCTTGTTGTATTATCAAGCCTCACTTTCGTTTCAGGAGGCACTGACAACTGGGATAAATCAATCTGTGAGTGAATATCAATAGAAGCAGTGTGTGGCTGGCTTTTGCGCAACTGTCAAGTCTTGCTATACCGAACCTGTAAGAAAAACCGAACGGAAATACGTCTGACTAGTGAACTATGTGCAGTCTCTACAACGATGGTTCTCACACACAGAAAGAACTGGGGTCTTGTTATCTATTAAACAGGGAGAGCAACATAAGAGCTGGTCATATGGGTCACTGGCAGCATGACAGACCTAAAACAACAAAACAGTGGAATGAAGCACAGGCGATTCGATGCATCATGTTCTCGAGGAAAAACAGACAGCAGTGATACCGAGATGCATCTGAAAAACCATCCCAGGAGACACAGCCTGGCTTGGAAACGCAGTGGCCAAAAATGTTCAGGAGTAAGGGCTGGCGCGAAATCCTCACCGACGGAAAGGATGATGCCTAAAGAACAGTTTTTTATGTCCAAGCGATCGCTTAGAAGATAATGGTTAATTTTGAAAGGTGACAGTTGATCTTGTTTCTCATCAGACACGAGTCTCGTCTTTCCCACTGAAAGGCGTTTGGAAGCGAAAAGAACCAAGGAAAGCTTTACTCCAATTCTTTGTTACGGAAAAAATTTGAAGTACTTCATGAAAAACGATATAATCACAAAATGTTGAGATACGCGAGTAAACCTGCGTAACATGGTTCGTGCCTGAAAAATGGTTGAAAAGGTTGAAGAGCGTGCAGAAAACGACCAGAAGGGTCGTTGCACACCGTCATCGGTGTTTATCCAACACCATAACTGTTCAACAGTGTTATCATTCCAAAAGTTACACCGGATCATAAGAACCGGCCAGTTTATGCAACCTATGGATGATATCGCGGATATACCAGTTTCAGTAGAAATCAGAGATTTCTGAAGTCTTTTTCGTTAGAGCAGGCTTCACTGTTTGATCTCTTCTGGTGGAAAGTTGGGAGTGTAAGCATTGTTTCAAACCACATAACAGCGACATGTTAAGAGACAACAAAAACAACATGGAGGCAAAGAAGTGAAACCGACAACCAAAAAACGATTGAGTTGGCAACTGCCAGATGGGAGATGTGGCTGGATGCATTGGCAGACAGGGGCTAATGGTGCATCGAAACAAACGCAGACGCGCAAGATATAGTCTTTGAAGTATAGCTATTCCATCCAGATATTCTCAACAATCACTTGCATTAGTCGATTCACAATCGAAGGACACATAAGTCCTCCAATCTAACGATTCCCTATCTAATATGACTGTGATCGCACACAGTGCCAAGAAATTAGTCTATTTCCACAATGAACACTTCTCTAGGGCAATCGAATGATGCTGGAAATTTCAAGGTTGTAATAATGAGACTGCTGTACTCGTTACGGTCTGTATTGTGTGGTTGCACCCATACACTGAGCATCATTCGTGGATGAAGCCGCGGTAGATGGAACCAGTGTACAGGTCTTCTTTAGCTTTAGTCACATGAGGCTAACCCGATATAAGGATCTCAAAAGATAAACTCGGTCGTACTGTGGGAATAGTCGTAATTGTGAGCAACAACTTTCTCATAGTAGCTTACCTTTCTCTTTGAAAGCCACCAGGAAACACATGTTATTCCACTTACTGAGCGCCATGATTTCATCTGGGGTATATCTTAAAAATTTCGTTCCCAAGTTCACCATGCACAAGCCAGGCTTCACGAAGCGATTGTCGATGTAACCAGAATGACCGATCCATTGGATCGGGGTGGGTAACTCCCTCCAGCATTGAAGAGACCAGGGTATTAGGCTAGAACTATGATGGATCGAAGGATGATACCAGTGCACTACAAAGCGCTGAGTACGAATGATCACTGTTAGATCATCACATTTACATTGGACGATGGTTTGCCGGAGATTTTATTCAATCGATGTACACAAGCATGGGCGAATGCACGTATGGCTCGGCACAAGATACCTGTGTTGTTCCACCTAGCGCAATAGTTTATTCGTTTGGTTAAGCAGGTATTTGTTATACTTATTATACTAACGGCACCATGAACACAATCCTGTTGGCTGAATTCTTTTTTTTTTGGGGGGGGGTGGTCGTGGAGAAAGTGTTATATCGGGACAGACTAGATGCAATTACGGAGNACCCCAATGCTGTTGGGTGATTTTTTTTTTTTTTTGGGGGGGGGGGGTCGTGGAGAAAGTGTTATATCGGGACAGACTAGATGCAATTACGGAGCGAGAAGAATAGAAAGGGTCTAAATCGGTTTCCAATAGGTTTTTACTTCTTTCCGGCCAGTTTGATCCCCAGACGCATTTTCTGACTCTTTGGTAGTACAATGCGGAGAATTTCTGAAATTAAAGAAAGCTCGATGTTATGAAGATCATCATGGTAGTGGACATCGACCAAAACGAGCCAACACAACCTCGATTAAAGAATATAATAAACAAGAGAGTGAGTTGAGTGTCAAATTAACAACACCGGAGTTTGAAATCTAGCAATTACCGCAGTATTGATAGTTATTGGCCGTATAATGCTAATTATGGGGTTGACGCCAGACGATCAACGAACCAAAGTGGCCGGACTCACTCGGGCGCAGGTTACCGAAGGTCAACCGACAGATTCCGCTGCCGGAGAACCGTAGGGTAACACAACTAAATCAGCTTGTGACCATGTTCGCTTTAGATTCCAGTTTAGTTCAGATGCCTTTAGATACAGATATGGCCATGGGGCGTTGAGAAATTCGCAACCTATAAGGCTCACTCATTCATTTTATCTCTAACTGGACAGCGTGGGAGATGGGCTCCGGAATGTTACGAAAATAGTGCAAGCTCGACCCAATGAGACATAGTTCTGAATGCACAGTTGTGCACCAGTATTACCTGATTTCCAAGGTTTTGGACGTAGTGATAATGCAAGCAACATATGCACTAGCTGAATCCGAAATCCAACAGTGAATACACGTCACTAATCGACTCCTCGCATTTCTACAGATAAGGTGTGTGTCACTGCAAGGGTTTGAGCAAGTTTAGAAAATAATGATACCTTTTCCACGCAAGGATTCCCGAAGACTGAAGAGAGACTGAGCGCACCGAACACTGCTGTCTACAGACTAAGCATGAACATACACTACAGTTAGTGGTTCCTGTAAATGAGCACGCGGAACGGTACGCGCTAGTAGTTACCCTGAGACAGCAGTTTGTGAGTCGAGCATCAATGAGTGTAAATGACATCTCAAGTCACGTTGCCACCGTGGTGAGAAAAGTTACTGTGGCAAAATAAAATACGGTAAGCACTAGACGTGGACAACCCATAACGGTGTAATATAAGCGGTACGCGCACACACAAACCTTGTTTTTCTCCCACCTTGCTCAGCATTTCCGGACTACTGAGCTCTTGCGTCACTCCGAAACCCTGCTCTCGATAAATCGTCAAGCGACATGCCACGCCGGAAACAGATGACAAAATGAGACAGGCTTGCAAATGAGTGACCTGAGCAAGCTCTTTTCCGTTTACCTAGGAGAAAATAGGGATATTCCACTGTTAAATGCACCTTGTCTGGTGTTGATTGTGAGTTATCACTGCGGTCAAGGGATATTCAGGAAAGTAACGAAAATGGGAACCATTTTTCTGGGACAGGGATTATCTTGGCCAAAGAGACTGGGTGTATTCAGAACGGCTACCACTATCATCTCGAAGATGGAATATGGGAGGTCTTTTTTACGGCATAATAGTTGAAATAAAGAAGCTAGTTGTTTGTCTCATGAACCAATTACTTGGCACTGACTGCGTTGATTTACTGTGGTGTTTTCAGAGTCTGAATGACGTACTCATCCACAAAATTACATGTTTGATTTCTGTGCGGCAACGCAAGTAAAATTAATCCTTTTCGAATAATTTCGATTTCTGCAGAAAATAAGTGGTTTGTTACAAATACTCTGAAGTCCCATAAACTAGTCTACGCTTGGTAATCTGTCAAAATATGGACAGCTCAGGTGGCTGTTGATCTGATCATCGAGCTTGGCGACCCAAACGTGCCCTAACGGTGACGAGAGGTTCGCAGGCTGATTGTCAAGCTTGGCGAACAGGTTGAGTCTTCTGATAAGCAGCCAACGAACGCGAGGATACGTATGTATACAGATAACCAAACGCTCATGATTCATACCATCTACTCTCAACACCGTGAAATTACCAAACGGCTGGTCGAAAAGCTGAGCCGGTAAGGTTCAAGTTGGATGAATAAAATTTTAAGTGCGAACCCACCAGCGACAGGAAGTAGTGCTCGTTTTTTGTTGTTGAACCATTATTTACTGGTGTTTCAGTTGGTCAAAGGATGGGTATCCTCCACAAACGTTTTGGTAGACAGTTTTGTAATAGATTTTTCCAAATGACCTCTGAATCGTCCCGGCTGAACACAACCAACATGTAGTTTTGTTGAGCGGTACGCAGTATAGCCAACCTAATGAGCTTGAAATAAGTAGCCAACCAGTGCAAATTTACGCACTACTTCGAGCATAAAAACTAAAGGAATTCGGGATGTAGACAAGTTGTGTTGACGATGGTTTTGACGTCTGCGCTACCAAAGACAGTCAGTACCAATGCACACCCAAGGTCTACATACACGCAAGGGCGATGTGTGGTAACCGTGTGTAACGGTCGCTAGCCTTTGTCAATAGAATAAACACGAACACCTGGTTTCTGTGCCATTCAACTAAACTCAAAGAGGAACAACAACTAAGAACTACGAAGGTATAGTCTGACTCGACAAAGACAACAAAGATAATCAATGCAACGTCATCCTACGTTGCTTCATCCAGCACCATCACCTGAGAGAAGCTCAGACGAATGAGAATATACCGGGCAAAATTTTGTGCTACGCCAAGACACACGTGACAAAGAAGGACCTGACGATGTGATATGATACTGCCTAAGAAATTAAAGGTTTGAAATGAGTCAACCTGTAAATCTATGTAAATGTCACGGGGCACACGGGATGCGACGTTTTTATTTTTGGAGTATGCCAATCTGGGAGCTAGCTTATCATTTTCGGTTCAGTGGGATTAGTTCAGTGTAAACAATCCGTGTCGCCAAAATTTCTGCTCAAAGATGTTCTTTTTCGGGGATCATGGCTGCTCTGGAAAGTTTCAGTGTGTTGGTCAGTTTTTTGTGTGGATACTTTGGCTTCGGTTTTCTCGACCATAACGCTGCGTTCAGGAATTTACCGTGCTAGAACAACAAAAGCTCATTAAGGAGAAACTGGAATCTACTAGAGAATTTACGCTTTTCAGACTATTGTGGTGCTTTCATGATGACATTTTGGGATATGTCTGAAATTTTTCAAGTTGGAATGTAGTTTACCAGATCACAGACGTTTTCAGTCAGTAGTTGGATAAACATAAGGTTTTTGCGCACAAAATCGATCCATTTCTGACACACGACAACCCCACAACACAGTTTACAAAGGTCGCTGGTGCATTCGACAATTGCAGACGGAGGGCGTTTTTGGGGAATTCGCGTCAATCAATCGAGGTACAAGCTTGAAGAGACAGCGGAGCACTCTGCAATAATGTATATATTTCGCACATATGTGGAGACCTCGTGAATGAAGCGAATATATTACGTAACCGACTTGCGTTTCTTATATTAGATGAGACTTTTGGGTGTTTCCACATCCCATTAGACTACCAGAATGAACTTTAGCGCTTAATCATGAACGACGGAGAACCTCACTGTAATTTTTTCAGGGCAGAAACCCCTCCTTGAAGGGGGATGGCGGCTGGATCTAGCATTCATGTATCTGAGAGTCATATTTGTAAACCTAACCCAGATTGGAAACAAATGTGTACTGTGCACACACGGTACCTCAATGTAGAAAAAACTTGGGAACGCGAAGTTTGCTTCATGGCCTCGACTGGAAAATAAGACTGCTCCTCTGGAGTATCTCGATTGGTCCCTGTTCCAAGTTGTGGGGGCGGTTTCTCAACAAGTGTCAGTTTCAATCTAGGTTTTGTGGGGCCCGAGGGAAGTGGTTTTGAATAGGGGGGCTACCGTATGTCAAATTTGGTGTTCAAAAAGAACGAGGATTGATGGAAATTAGGGAATTCGGTCTAACCGACGAGCCCCCAAAAGGGCAGCCAGTAGTAAGGTCCTGCAGAGTTTTCACAGAATTCAGTAATATCTTATCAAGGGAAAACGAGTGTCGTTCGATAAAAGAGCTATACTCTGATCTGTCAGATTCTCGAACACTGTAACTTTGATACTTTTAACTTGGGGAAATCACTCAGTGACTCATGCGACCGCTTTCCGGATACAGTGCAAATGAGATTGCTCGAATCGGTGCTCAATTCGGTAAAGTTTCGTAGCAAGGAGAGCATGAAACCCACCGAGTTGGTGAGACGGAAAAAGTTAAACATGGATCTATTCGACAACAGAACCGGTACATCGGTAGATAGAACACCGAAATCCGAACTAACCGTTGTCTACAAGGGCAAAGTTGAACTGCCATACATACAACCAAAGGGACGAAAAAAGTCAAAAGAGAGAAATATGTCCTGAACTTTTGACTCAACCAACACAAAACATAACTTCTTCCACCAGGATGTCAGATGGATGGTGTTAGTTTGCACATTCTTGGTGGTCATAAATACGCAACATTATTAGACACAAAAACAATGGTTACAGAACAACTGCCTAACAGTTTTGTGGAGGTAGCTTCGTTGCAGCTTTCATTACCCTTCTAATCCGCAGTTCTCAGACGTTACTAACACGAACTCACGTAGTTAGCTTGATATGACTCCTCAGAAAGGAGTTCACAGTCAGATGCTTCCGGGAATAGCTGTGTGTACGTAGGATTGTCCGACGCAAAGGTGTCTGGTTCGAATTTAGTACTAACAAACGATATCTACTCCATTCAGGTTTAGGAGACCTGGTAGCATTCCGGCCATCATGTATGCCGAAGAAATCAGATGAAATCACATGTATTTCAGCCTAGAAACATAAGAGAGTAGCGTGTCGTGGCATATTGATCACAGTGTCGATGTGAACAAGACCGGTTCGAGATAACTCACTGGTTAAGGTGAAAGCTTACTGACCGGAAGGATCGTGGTACTAATCCAAACTCTGCATCTCGACTGCTCCTGTCAGGGCGCGGGCAACCTGCAGTATCTCAGCCCTCGTAATTCCTTGTGTTAGCATAGCAGCTAGGCACCAAAAGGATGTATAGCTGAACGATTACTAGTATGATCAACTGTTGCACATCAGTTGGCGATATAGCTGTATACAAACTTGTTCCTCTGTGAAAAAAGACAACCAAAAATGGTTCCTTCCTGGAGACAGCCGCTCCAAACGAGGAGAATGTATTGAAAACAAGATTGGTTATCCAAACACACTAAAGATGTTCGGCCCGCGGCTAGGATGTCCTATTCTCATAAACGAAGTCAATGGCCGCGGTACGTGTAGTGTCAGTTCGAAAGATAAGATGAACAGGGTCAGTGAACCCAAAATAACACCATAAACAAGATAAGTCTAGCTGATGAAAAATTAGCGAGTACGGCAGTGCGATAGTAACGAACCTCTAGGATTTGGTCACCTGGGCGCAGTCGCCCGTCCTGTGCAGCAAGACCGTCCAAATAGATTTCTTGAATAATCACACAAAGCTGTGGAGAAATGGGGAAGAGAATAAACAGGTAATCCGATAACATTCAGTCAAGACGAAAAGGCTGCTAGCCGACCTAAAACTATAAGCAATACCAGGTTAAGTCATTAACTGTTTTCTAATGCTATAGGATTGAGTAAGAACTGAAGTACTGAACAGGAATACTCGGGTCACCAACCTGAAACACGCGGATGACGTCGTTTGACTGGGTGATATTCCGGAGTCTCGTATCTACGGAACGTCATGCCGGTACTAAAACGATTAGACCAATACGTCACCAGACTCGATCTTGAAATCAACACTTTTGGGATGAAGCTCTTCTCCACACGTCCGAACCACCGCCCATTCCGATAAATGCCAGTACCAAAAAGACACCTATGTTCGAATGTCCCGGTTCCCAGATTTTACCGAACGAACAAGCGAACAATGAAGAGGAAAGTGCGCACCGATGTTGCCAGAAAAGCCTTACTTGTGGCGTAACCAAGGGTATTAGTCAAAATCTGGCCACTACGGTGTACTTCAGCATGAAAACTAGAAGTATTCGAACAGATCATGCAAACGATAAGCTGGATCGAATGGGTAGCATACAAGCATCTGAGTTCCAACCATGAACAGCCCAGACCTCGTCCATGAGGGAATTCCAGGTGGTTGGTAACAGAGTTTAACCGTTAAAAATGACACAACGGTACGATCAGTGATACTGATGAACTTTGGCTGTTAATTCACTAGGTGTAAGTTTGGCGTCCAAGTGTATATGTATGGCGCAGTGCTGTCAGCTACGGCTTAATGGTAGAGCTTCCATTCGAAAATAGCTAGGTCGCTGCCCTGGCCCCTGGTTTCTGGCCAGATAGAATGGATTTGCTCACTGCATGTGACTAATGGCATCCGGAAGGCCAGGCATAAAACCCGCATGTATAAATGGTTAAGCAACCTACAAAAAATCACTTGAGTTATGGGCTACAACGATGTGCGACAAGGTGGCCGAACAAAAGTACGACTCGCTCAAGGAAACATTATGTCTACCAATCAGAGAAAAATTGCTCTAGGATATGGCAGGACTTTTCCGAAATTGTTATTGCTGAATTGCTCGCTGCATCAACAGCCATCTGCAAATCGGTGGATGACAGAGAAAACGACAACAGAGGTCCGAGGAATAGCTCAGTTAAACACATTTCTACTAGCTAATTCTTCTGTCATCAAGTAACCAAATTTTTAGCACTTTATTTTGCCAATCTATTTGTCTTTAAATTAGTTCACTTCAATAAACTGCTCCAAAATGAACAATGCTGCCTAGTAAGAGAAATAAATAAAGCGGGTAATTTTCGTAGCCTACCAAACATGTGGTACCCACTCAAAGCAGAAAAACACAAAAGGGTATCGGAAAAGGCACGACTTGTTGGCCGGATCAGTCTACTGACGATTTTTTTCACCCAGACAAACTGCTTCGGTCTTGATGCGGTTCATGAGCAGTGCCTGCACTATGCTTCGGACCAGGAAGCAACCAATCGTCACGGTTCCTATTCCGAAAACAACTAACTCACTAAACCAACATAGCGCGGTAATCGCCACAGCAACATAGTAAGCAATTAAGGGATCGGACTTACCAAAGGCGTATCACACCCACCGACTAAGCTTATACCTAGCTCCGAACGTCCATCCAGTTTGATGTCGATGAAAGTAATATGGCCATCTGGAAGTGGTCGGGGGTCTGAAATGTGGGTGGAGGGATGGCTGACGGATTCAACCGAACGCGGACTAGTAGGCTGAGGAGTAATGTCTAAAAAGGAGAAACTTTTTTCAAGTGAAGAGAAGAGAAACGAGCTAGGACGTGGAACTGAAAAAGCGGGTCATAAACTGCAAAACCAAGACTGCTTCAAAGTTAAATTACCCTGATTCCAGAAGATGTTCCGCAATAAAATGGGGATATTTGTCGAATCGCACCTAAAGGGCAAGTATTCTGAAGTAAATTGAAACTTTGTGAACTTTTGGGGAAGTGCTGGCCGAGGTAAGGTCGGTGGGATGCTCACTACCGAATGGACACGATAAAAGTGATAACCCGGAATGAATCGCAGTCTGATCACAAAATCAAGGGATCATTCCTAGATAAGAATTAGATCAGATGTAACTTTTGATAGCAGTAGCAACAACAGTAACAGCAAGACTAGCAAAGAATTATCCCCTACACTCTCTCACAGCGAGATCCCACAGTTTCGTTCAAGATCGACATAAGGTTTTGATTATAGACGTTTTTCAGTGTGGCAGACATTGCGTAGTGTGAATCTAACTTAGTAGGTAAGATGAAGTTTGCGGATGAGTTCAACGTCGGGATACAAATAACCTAGCGCACGAAAGCAATCTGGATACGCACAATCAACATACTCTGTCCAACCACTGTAATACACAGAGAGGTGAGCCTCAGATTCCTACGAGGATTTTGAGCCGATATCTGCCCATGTGCTTAGTTTGATGTCTTTCCTGAAGTTCTACTACAGCATTTTCCAACAGGGCAACCTGAAAGTCCGCCATGTCTCAACCAATCGCTCGAACCCGAGTTAACTGGTTTTCCGTCGTTCCGTCAAACAGTATTTTTCCATCCAAGACAGAACCATAGTAAGACGCCAAAATAACCAGGTAATGAAGAACAATGTAGCCCTTCCATTGTCGGGAATATAGCTCTATTCGGTAGTCCACCGAACAATGCATTACAGCATGTTGGAGCTTCCAAGTTAAAACTAGGCTGATGAGCCTCGTGTGTGAGAATTAACTTTTTATGCTCGACCTAAAGTCCATCTGTCCAAAGGTTATCTTTTACAATCACTAAATTTGTTGAAGTACCGTAATCCCCTATATTACATCCCTAGCTGGGCACTTTCAGACATACAAGAGAACCACGCTTACTACACACATTCCAACAGCCCAACGTTTCAGTTTTGTTGTTGTCGCAATAAAGTGACTGAAGAGTCACACGAATGAATATCCGGTCAGAATGTAAGTTCAGTGAATTATCCAAGGTAATAGGCTGGGATCACCAGATTTGACGGAAGAACGTAACCAATAGATAATTAGATCACATGATTCTGTTCGAAGAATTGGATTTGTGTGATTTTCTTAAAATGCTTCGCCTTGAAAGCCAAGGACGCCAAATTTGGCAAAGATCCATCATTCCAAACCGACACAGATGCTCAGGAAACCACCCGAAGAGTCCTTGCAGTGACAGACATTTGGTGCACTGCTCAACAATCGCTATATAATCGATTGTTAAAGCGGACCATAAGGGCCTTTTAGACGTTCCCTAAAGCGTCCTGCGCATACGAACCTATCAGGGCATAAGTATGGTAAAAGTACATCGACATGGAAGTGTGGGTAAAGCGACTGGTTGAAGCACTGAATCCACCTGTTCCACTTGATCATAACCCTGAGAAGTAATCGGTAAGACCTCAATCTTTTTGCTTTCACTAGTCCTCGACTAAAACCTAACTGTGGGTTTAGAACATGGTAAAACCAATTCACAAACGCATGAAGACACTCAAAAGGAGCATAAGCGGTCCGAAATTAATGCCGAGATAGGCCGATGCTTGAGTCAATAAGCTGTGCATACAAAACTGGCTGTTTTAGCTCGATCAGCATCACCTCGCTTAAGACAGGTATCCGGGACATTCGATCGCGTGACAGGATGGTCACTGATTTTCTGGAGTCAATGGGACGACCTATGGTCACCAGGCGTCCTATGATCGATGATTCTGGGTTCTAGAGAGTTGTAGGCTGATAACTACGTGGTCATTGTCTAATCGGACGTGCCGGTTACTCTGATTTAACGAGGAAAGCTTTTCACCACGAAGTCGTTTATTGGCAAACACCAACTAAACAGTTACAAGCTATTGGACAGGAAAGTAAACATCTCATGTGCACGTAGTTTTCAGGAACGGAAAATTCTCACGCGTCTTCTTGACCTTTTGAGGATATTCATTGACTGTCACTTAAAACTAGGCTGATGAGCCTCGTGTGTGAGAATTAACTTTTTATGCTCGACCTAAAGTCCATCTGTCCAAAGGTTATCTTTTACAATCACTAAATTTGTTGAAGTACCGTAATCCCCTATATTACATCCCTAGCTGGGCACTTTCAGACATACAAGAGAACCACGCTTACTACACACATTCCAACAGCCCAACGTTTCAGTTTTGTTGTTGTCGCAATAAAGTGACTGAAGAGTCACACGAATGAATATCCGGTCAGAATGTAAGTTCAGTGAATTATCCAAGGTAATAGGCTGGGATCACCAGATTTGACGGAAGAACGTAACCAATAGATAATTAGATCACATGATTCTGTTCGAAGAATTGGATTTGTGTGATTTTCTTAAAATGCTTCGCCTTGAAAGCCAAGGACGCCAAATTTGGCAAAGATCCATCATTCCAAACCGACACAGATGCTCAGGAAACCACCCGAAGAGTCCTTGCAGTGACAGACATTTGGTGCACTGCTCAACAATCGCTATATAATCGATTGTTAAAGCGGACCATAAGGGCCTTTTAGACGTTCCCTAAAGCGTCCTGCGCATACGAACCTATCAGGGCATAAGTATGGTAAAAGTACATCGACATGGAAGTGTGGGTAAAGCGACTGGTTGAAGCACTGAATCCACCTGTTCCACTTGATCATAACCCTGAGAAGTAATCGGTAAGACCTCAATCTTTTTGCTTTCACTAGTCCTCGACTAAAACCTAACTGTGGGTTTAGAACATGGTAAAACCAATTCACAAACGCATGAAGACACTCAAAAGGAGCATAAGCGGTCCGAAATTAATGCCGAGATAGGCCGATGCTTGAGTCAATAAGCTGTGCATACAAAACTGGCTGTTTTAGCTCGATCAGCATCACCTCGCTTAAGACAGGTATCCGGGACATTCGATCGCGTGACAGGATGGTCACTGATTTTCTGGAGTCAATGGGACGACCTATGGTCACCAGGCGTCCTATGATCGATGATTCTGGGTTCTAGAGAGTTGTAGGCTGATAACTACGTGGTCATTGTCTAATCGGACGTGCCGGTTACTCTGATTTAACGAGGAAAGCTTTTCACCACGAAGTCGTTTATTGGCAAACACCAACTAAACAGTTACAAGCTATTGGACAGGAAAGTAAACATCTCATGTGCACGTAGTTTTCAGGAACGGAAAATTCTCACGCGTCTTCTTGACCTTTTGAGGATATTCATTGACTGTCACGCAAAGCAGTTCCATAAGTTCCGTAATAAACCTCACCCTCTATCAGGAAGGTCAGCTTCCTGAAAGCAACCACTGAATGCCCGAAATCTACGGAGACCCTCTGCCCGCTAGATGTTGAGCAGAGAGACAACGCCCCCGCGATATGCAGCGCCTCGCAGCCAGACCGTGTGCGTCAGCATTGGACCAATTTCAGACAGTGTCCTTCCAATAAAAAGCTTGAGGCCGTTGAACTTTTCGCACTCGCTTTGTTGGAATATAGCTGTTGTGTTCCCTTCCATGGGTCTTTTCTCTCCGACACTAGGCACTGGAGCGGGTCAGCAGCAGATACCACAGATTGACGAATCAGCACATATAACACCCTCCATTAGAGGCGGGGCGGAGCTTCGAGAAGACTACATACTAGTTGAATGTCTCACCAGTAGTATTCACCATTACAGTGGTAGTGTTCAGCCACCTTTCGAGAGACCGGTCTGTTCTTCCGAGTGTCACCGCAACCACAGGTTAAACTGATAGATAACATGGGCTACAGAAAGATCTACTCCTCGAGACTGGTTAGGTTAAAGCTAAGGAGGACTGGGTTGTTCACGGTTTTGTGATCGGAAAAGCGTGATCAGAGTAACAATTAGTTGGTGTCTGACATTTACAAACAAACGGTCATATTCAATTGACAACCATCAGAGAATCGAAATCTGTTCGACAATGGCCACTTGGTGTGCTTTAGTATTTTTCAGACCATGTATTCCGATAAAACGATTACATAAACTTAAATAAAACCCGAATTTTGAAACAACCTAACGAACTTGCAAACTGGGACGCTGGAAGCTTCTCAAAAGAGGGTCGCGCGGACATTTCTCGAGAAACAGTACATGTCTTGGAAGAGGATGGATCAACATCTGGAGATGAAGTGGTGAGGTCGGAACCAACGTTAGAAGAGCTACGAGGTGCTGGTGTCTGAAACTGGCAACTCCATCGATGGGCAGGCTGGTCGGCTCGTAACCCCAAGTAAGGACAACCGAGTTTGTTGTTCACACAGGCGACCACAGCACCGCGACACCAGTAGGCCAAATGAGACTCGAGATCACATCGCGTAAGTACCTCGGCGCAGTACTCTGAGTTGGGACAAGCCACAAGTAGTTTGTCCAAAAGTCTGTGGTGGACAAAAATGAGCAAGGAAAGTAATCCGTAAAATTAAAAAGACTGGAGAAATGCAGTGAAACACAAATCAGTACCGCTCTTTGTTATCTAACCTACAGGTACCGTACTTGAACATCACCATCAGTTAAGGACAAAGTAGCACAAAAAACATGGTGGTAAGGAACAAAACAGGAACATGCGAAAGCGTCTAAAGATGGAAATCTACAATCCGAGTTCAGTGGCTAGGATGTTGACCTTACACTAGGGAGTTTTTACAGATGTTAAGTGAACTGCCGTCTCGTTCCGGAAAAGAAACGAAAATTTGCTTGCTTTATGTTTCGTGTGCACCAACGGTACTCCGAAGCTACGTTCCGTTGGTCTACACTCAACTTGCGTTCAGCATTTAAAACACGCTGGAAGAAAACAAGGGAAGGTAAGCCGATACGGTCACTCGATAGTAACGCGTACACATTAGCTAGTCACTGTAGCTTACCGCTTGACTAAGTTGGAAGATTGTTGGCATTCCAGATAGTTGATAATCTGTTTGTCTTCCGGACAAAGTGCTTGGACAGCCAGATGATTTTTCAGACAGGACGAACAAAACGTATGGCCGCATTTTGTATCCAACGGATCTACAAGTGGTTGCTTGCAAAGCTTGAAGTATGGGAAAGGAACGTGGGAAATAGGTCAGGAAAGGCTTCGCGTTCGGGTAAAACGATGGTGTTTCAGGTATGAAGCAGATAAAAAGTCAACAAGTGGATTCGACCAGTATATGGGTTAGAATGCTAGTCATTTACAGAAGTATCGCCTGTGGGTTGAGAGTTCGAATTGAAACAGCGATACAACCATGATGTTTCTATACGATCACGGAATTCAAGTTCAAAATAGATGTAACTTCGAACGGAGAAATTCTTCGTTCCTGATTAAGGTATAATACGCCTGTCCCCTAGAAGCGAAAACCTCTATGGAACGAGAGATTACTTAATCCCAATTTGCGACTAGTGAAGCTATATGAGGATTGTCAGAGCTACAATCCCATCCTTACAAAAAGAAGGCTGGGACCACGACACTCATCAAAATTTATCGCCAGAGATGGGAAGTGAGCCAGGTACCAAGAAGCTCATCTAACTGCCGGAAAAAGTAAGCTTGACAACCTTAGCAAACACCAAGTGCGATCTCACACCATATATGAAACAAAACTTAACAGCGATTGCCCCTCATCTGCTCAGGATCAGTACAAACATATTTGTGGCCCGGAAAACGGCCTGAGACGGGTAAATTCAGATATACGACTCCGAAAAAACAGGCCACTAATCATAGCAGAGATGTAGCCGATTTCGAACTGAGCTCTTGTCAGCCTTAGGCTGTTGCTCCGGCCATGAGTACTTGCTTGATACTCATGTGAGTTGGCGCCATACAAAGTGTTTAAACCACTTACACAACTGTGCATAAAATTTTTCTTGTTTTGTACAATAGATAGAACCAACCTGCATATCGTTGGGTGTTTCCACGACTGTCGGCACACTTCTCATTTGATGGGGGTGATACCGTACAGAAGGTGTCACCGAGTTAAGAGATCGACCAAATTTTAATGTTAGCAATAAATATACTTGCTGGTTTCCAAACTTTCGGCGCATATTGTGAAACGTGTTACCCGGAAAAAGTTCACCTCCTAATCTATAAAAGCTGGTTGCATGTTCAAGGAGTCATACTAGGTAGGGAATGATGCCGAGTGTCACCGCAACCACAGGTTAAACTGATAGATAACATGGGCTACAGAAAGATCTACTCCTCGAGACTGGTTAGGTTAAAGCTAAGGAGGACTGGGTTGTTCACGGTTTTGTGATCGGAAAAGCGTGATCAGAGTAACAATTAGTTGGTGTCTGACATTTACAAACAAACGGTCATATTCAATTGACAACCATCAGAGAATCGAAATCTGTTCGACAATGGCCACTTGGTGTGCTTTAGTATTTTTCAGACCATGTATTCCGATAAAACGATTACATAAACTTAAATAAAACCCGAATTTTGAAACAACCTAACGAACTTGCAAACTGGGACGCTGGAAGCTTCTCAAAAGAGGGTCGCGCGGACATTTCTCGAGAAACAGTACATGTCTTGGAAGAGGATGGATCAACATCTGGAGATGAAGTGGTGAGGTCGGAACCAACGTTAGAAGAGCTACGAGGTGCTGGTGTCTGAAACTGGCAACTCCATCGATGGGCAGGCTGGTCGGCTCGTAACCCCAAGTAAGGACAACCGAGTTTGTTGTTCACACAGGCGACCACAGCACCGCGACACCAGTAGGCCAAATGAGACTCGAGATCACATCGCGTAAGTACCTCGGCGCAGTACTCTGAGTTGGGACAAGCCACAAGTAGTTTGTCCAAAAGTCTGTGGTGGACAAAAATGAGCAAGGAAAGTAATCCGTAAAATTAAAAAGACTGGAGAAATGCAGTGAAACACAAATCAGTACCGCTCTTTGTTATCTAACCTACAGGTACCGTACTTGAACATCACCATCAGTTAAGGACAAAGTAGCACAAAAAACATGGTGGTAAGGAACAAAACAGGAACATGCGAAAGCGTCTAAAGATGGAAATCTACAATCCGAGTTCAGTGGCTAGGATGTTGACCTTACACTAGGGAGTTTTTACAGATGTTAAGTGAACTGCCGTCTCGTTCCGGAAAAGAAACGAAAATTTGCTTGCTTTATGTTTCGTGTGCACCAACGGTACTCCGAAGCTACGTTCCGTTGGTCTACACTCAACTTGCGTTCAGCATTTAAAACACGCTGGAAGAAAACAAGGGAAGGTAAGCCGATACGGTCACTCGATAGTAACGCGTACACATTAGCTAGTCACTGTAGCTTACCGCTTGACTAAGTTGGAAGATTGTTGGCATTCCAGATAGTTGATAATCTGTTTGTCTTCCGGACAAAGTGCTTGGACAGCCAGATGATTTTTCAGACAGGACGAACAAAACGTATGGCCGCATTTTGTATCCAACGGATCTACAAGTGGTTGCTTGCAAAGCTTGAAGTATGGGAAAGGAACGTGGGAAATAGGTCAGGAAAGGCTTCGCGTTCGGGTAAAACGATGGTGTTTCAGGTATGAAGCAGATAAAAAGTCAACAAGTGGATTCGACCAGTATATGGGTTAGAATGCTAGTCATTTACAGAAGTATCGCCTGTGGGTTGAGAGTTCGAATTGAAACAGTGATACAACCATGATGTTTCTATACGATCACGGAATTCAAGTTCAAAATAGATGTAACTTCGAACGGAGAAATTCTTCGTTCCTGATTAAGGTATAATACGCCTGTCCCCTAGAAGCGAAAACCTCTATGGAACGAGAGATTACTTAATCCCAATTTGCGACTAGTGAAGCTATATGAGGATTGTCAGAGCTACAATCCCATCCTTACAAAAAGAAGGCTGGGACCACGACACTCATCAAAATTTATCGCCAGAGATGGGAAGTGAGCCAGGTACCAAGAAGCTCATCTAACTGCCGGAAAAAGTAAGCTTGACAACCTTAGCAAACACCAAGTGCGATCTCACACCATATATGAAACAAAACTTAACAGCGATTGCCCCTCATCTGCTCAGGATCAGTACAAACATATTTGTGGCCCGGAAAACGGCCTGAAACGAGTAAATTCAGATATACGACTCCGAAAAAACAGGCCACTAATCATAGCAGAGATGTAGCCGATTTCGAACTGAGCTCTTGTCAGCCTTAGGCTGTTGCTCCGGCCATGAGTACTTGCTTGATACTCATGTGAGTTGGCGCCATACAAAGTGTTTAAACCACTTACACAACTGTGCATAAAATTTTTCTTGTTTTGTACAATAGATAGAACCAACCTGCATATCGTTGGGTGTTTCCACGACTGTCGGCACACTTCTCATTTGATGGGGGTGATACCGTACAGAAGGTGTCACCGAGTTAAGAGATCGACCAAATTTTAATGTTAGCAATAAATATACTTGCTGGTTTCCAAACTTTCGGCGCATATTGTGAAACGTGTTACCCGGAAAAAGTTCACCTCCTAATCTATAAAAGCTGGTTGCATGTTCAAGGAGTCATACTAGGTAGGGAATGATGTGGTCACGCTGACGCGTTATTACATAGATCTTTGATAGTCTGAGTAAGTACGTAAATGTCCGAAAGACTCTCATCTTGCCAGTTTTGAAGAGAATTTGGCACGGATGTTTGCCGATCATCAATTCTCAGGTAGATACTGCGTTAATCAAAAAGCAGGTTGTAAGATTAGAAAGGGGTCGTGTATCAGAAGTACATTTTGTGATGAGGTACACAAAAACGAATCTGGATGGAAAACAGCGACGATGTTGGAAATGGAATTGCTACATGGGGGGTCGTTGAACAGAGGGCAACGTCCCCGTATTTTACAACAATATAATGGTAATCCAGTTTCAAACCCCTTTAGGCGTCAATATGCCATGCCACCCGAAGGAAGCACGAGCTCTAAGATACCAGCATGTTGATAAAGCCTAGACATGAGCAATCGACATGCTGGGATTGGGCTCGAACCACGGAACTAACGGTCAGTAAATTTGCCTTGACCAATGAGCCATCACGCGCTCTAGTTGCATTCTGCTCACTTTCAAACCTTCTGCTGTGAGAGTACACTACTGGCACTGTCAGTTATCCGCAGAACCACCACATCTCAGTTTCTCACCGGATGTATAAATCCAAGTTGGAAGCTCTCTGGGCAAAAGTGTGACCTCTGTCTAAGAGTGCATAGCCAAGCAGTGGTGGTGAAGACGAGGAAAATGGCGTCGCAACCGATGTTAAGACCGCTGTTCTGTCCTAGGCAATCCAATTTGAGATAAAGATTACACATGGCAATCGCCAGCTAAATTGATCCATTTTCTCGGCTGTCTAGTAACTAGGCCAAAGACGTCAAGCGACTACTCTACTAACCGGTTGAGCTAATTGGTCGGGTTCAATAATGAAGTGAACGAAGCCAAGTTCCTAACGACGGCCACGAAAACTACGAAAGCTACCACTGAACATCTCTAAGTTGAGACGTTTGCCCAAGGAGGCGATTTTCAATCCATATTGATAATTTGAGACACAAATGCAGTCCAAGGTCGATTCAAACTCTTTTCGTTCAACAGTATGGACCCAGGGGGCTTCCGGCGGCTAATGTTACGCAAATTGCTGCGTCAGGAGTTGGCTTTCACATAAGTAAGGCTCATTAGCCTGTCGGTTGAATAAATTGCGAATTGATGGAGGTTGTGATGCAGTTAAACTGAAATGTCCTCCCATAAGTGGAGGTTCCAGAAACCCGAAGTTCACGCACTCTCAAGAGTATATGTAAACTGGTGGTTCAAGAAAGACACTTCCACAACAAATCGCATCTAAAAACTTACACGACAGAGAAGATCTGCATCCACTGGTTCACTATACTCATAAATATGAGATGCTGAAAGGGTATGCACGTGTCCGCAGATCCCACACCATGGTGAGTCTTTCATTTGTTGCAGTGTCGAAGTTAAAACGCCATCATTCTGTGGTGACGTGAAGGCATTCGACGTCGTTTGTTGAGTCTCAAAAGGCCTGCAAGGGTTCGGAGGTCTTAGTATCTCCGACACTGTCGAGATAGGCTGCGATAGGTTAAGTGAATTGGATTGCAAAGCAGTGGATGTTACCCCCGACAGATGGCAAGTTGAAAGCGCCGTAGATTCGCAGTTGACTTTTTTACTACTGCTCCCGTCTTTTGGTGGTTCAGGGAAGGATAAAATGCAATGTGTTGTGTTTGGTGGAAGTGAATGGAGTTCACCATTTTCTATCGTACGAAACGCCGATGGACTAGGGACTCCTGGTGAACTCATAGGGTTCCCAGAAGCATTGCTTAGGGGTGTAAATGCCGAATTAAGGGGGGCGCTGGTTTGATTAAAAAAGTTGACGGTTGATGATGCTGGAGGGACCGATATCGCGTTGACAGGTCGGACCGTAGCTGTAACGGAGGTTGTAGAACTCGGCGGGGAGTTAAAGTCTGAAACATTATGCGCAGAGGTTGACGAAACCGTTTTGAATGGCTTTTGTCTCGGAGGTGGGTTGATAAGAGGCATTTAACGAGAAGTTAATCAATACAGGCAGATTCGGGTTTGTGCGTGAGAATAGCCTGTACCTGGTCACGACAGATAAAAATCTAGATGACCTTTCGGAATTGGGAAGAATGCCATTTTCGGCAAACTTGCCGACAGAACCTAAAAATAAGAGAGCAATCTCAGTGGAAATTAAAAGCCTGCTTTGTGTAAAGTACTAGAAGATAATAAAAAGAAGCAGAAATGAATGGCAGCTCCAAAGACCAGGTGCTCATCATCGCTCACACATAGAAATATCAATTGTTTCCCACCACACGAGAATAAGTAGTTTTGGGAAAAAACGAAAGAAACATGACGGGAGTGAATTGAAGCCTAACATAAACCTTACAAGCATCTGTAGAGATACAACGAAGGCAGTACCAGATTCCTCGAAGAGAACGAGCAGCAGGAATAACACATTCAACTATGGAGTCCATGTGGTCTGTCGCTGGGGAGTTGATAATTTACCATCAAATTATAGCATATTAAATCATTTATCTGAGTCTAAATGTACAAACAGACCAGTCAGTCTTAGAAGAAACTCTAGAATGAGCCTAATGATTGAAACACATGTCTACCGACTTCGTGTGTTAGGAAACACATTGTCGTGCAGGATAGGCCAAAATCTATGCTGTTGGAATCAAACAATCTATGGCTAGCCCACGCAAAAAATTACCGAGGTGCCCATACTTCCAACACTCAATCAGAAAACCTGAATAGAAACTGACACAATCAGCACCAATGACATTAGCCATCCGTTATATATTCCAGTGTCTCCATCCCACCACAGCGAAGGTCACATGGACCCTATCCAGCAAGGTAAACAGCACCAATTAGTCGCAACAACCTTTATACCCTTTTACAACAGCAGATTCTGTCCCTCTCTGGGTTTCCGTCACTCCGAATTAGGCACGCAAAACAACGCTCTTCTCGATAGACGATAGCTCGACATGCATAACACACGCCCATCCACACTAACTTGCAGCGATGGACGCAAACCTTGAGTGGAATACCATCTAATTCACGAGAAACTCGTTTCCTGGAAACCCCACTGTGTCTACCGTAACTTCAGCGGATTTCGACTAGGGCACCGAAAAATCGCTGGTCAAAGAACCAAAGATGCCTAAGATCTTACATCTGAAGTGGTCAAGTGTCGCAGCCGTACAACAATACACTCCGTACTGTGGTCTCAGGCCCAGTGAGATGCCTTTTTGATGCAACAAACGGATAGCAGTGTTTCAGGGGAAAAATAAGATGAGCTTGTTTCAAATCTATA